TGCTTTCACCACAAACTTTATAAATCCAAAAGTTTATTCCGCAAGAATTCATCTGCGCAGAATAACAGAACAAAGAGGGGGGAAAATGTTTTAAAATTTTAGAATAACCAGTCCAATCTTAACTTTTACTTTAGATTTTAACTTCCCATTCATGTTTTTTTTTCCTTCTGTTTTGGTTCTGTCTTGGCTCAAAATCTCACTCACTGCTGAGTAGAATCAGCAGAGCTCCACTAACTCACGTCTGTATCACAGCCATGTCAACCGGAAGTCCCAAAACAGACATTTTTCTAAGTTGATACTCACCAAATCACTACTTTCATTCTCTGAATGGTCCAATTTTTCAGTGCTCTGTTTGTCATTCATCTAACCTAACAGAACAATTTTTCCTCAATCATATGAATTTGTAATGTGCGATTTTTCCAAAATTCATCTCTACTACGTTCTATCTCTATTACCATTTTATAGATAATAGCAATAGCAATAGCAATAGCAGTAGACTTATATACCGCTTCATAGGCCTTTCAGGCCTCTCTAAGCGGTTTACAGAGAGTCAGCATANATGAATCGAGGGTAGAAGTTTGCAAACCCCAGGAAAGTTTGCAACCGCCTTTTGGTTCAAGGGGGTTCCCATTCTAATATTGCCTTCGCTTTACAGGGGTCCATTTCTACCCACTCTCTCAAAATGTGGTACCCCATGTAGACTAGGCTGGTTTTGTGAAAGTCACGCTTAGACAGAATGGCATAAAGATGGGCTGTCATTTCTCAAGGACCACCCTGACTATTCACATGCTCTTATTCAATCCTTGTATAAATTAATATATCAATCAGGTATACCAAGATCCCTTTGTACAGGTACTCATACAATATAAATATTAATTTTGTAATTAAAAATGTCGCTAAATGCAAGCAATTATTCTTCAGCTGTACAAATTTTATATTTTTGAAGGTTTCTGAAGTAATTAATCCATCAACTTTTTTTTTCATACAGACCCTTTCCCTTTCTAAGCATTTCAAATGTTTTAATTGATCTTATCACACGTTTTTCAGCCTTTATGATGTCTGTATTTTTTGCTTGCAGTGCATTTGAAAGAAGAGAAATTTCATTCAGAATATTGATCATCAATGCCAAATCAGTTTTATATATGTATTTTCAACATGGAAAACAGCCATAACTGAGTATTTTTCATTTGAATGAAAATAATGATGTAGCTTTGGATAAGCACGCCACACAGCTAGGGTTGACCCTAAACTACAGGCAGTCCATTTTGGTCCCAAAACTCTACCAATCTTTATAATTTCAATTCCAAGTTGTTCGGATATTTTGGCAAGTTCCATTTGGTTCTTATTGGATTTATGAAAAATAGTGTATATCTTGTCAATAAATATTTTAAAATGATTTTCTTGCTTTACTTCCTTTATGGAGTCATCTAAAGCAAGTTGGAGGTGATGGTTTAAGCAGTGCCATATTATGATGTTTGGAAACTCTTTTGCTATTGTAGCACTCACTCCAGATCTTCTCCCAAGCATAATGTTGGCACCATCAGAGCAAAATGCTATTAATTTTTTTTAGCTAGTTTTTTGTAAACCCAACATGATTTAAACTTCCCATAACTGAAGGTCATATTGTCTCTGCATCTTGTTTTTCCAATTCAACAAGCTCAACAAAAATTGTTGATGAATTAAGTGAATAGCTTTTTGCATCCCTACACGTCCACCACATATGATAATACATTCCTGGCAATTGGTGACATTTCCAACATTTAGCTGATTTATCCTTAAACATTTTTGCTAATCTTTCAGGTGTCTTGTGGCATCTATAAAACATTTTCTTTGTATGCTGTTGCCATTGTCAATTTATAGTTCCTTTCCCATAGTTGTTGCCATATTTCTAGTTCTATTGTATATCCAAAGTTTTTCCTCCATCTTATCATTGCTTCTTTAACCTCTTCATCTTCTAAATTTATTCTAAGTAAATAACTATACAATTTTTAAATCATTTTTCATCCGTTCCAATGAATATCCTTTCTAATTCTGAATCTTCCATATTAAAACCATGCTCTTTAACATCTTTCTCATATCTTGTTTGTATTTGCATTTGTTTAAACCATCCTATATCAGATATCGTTTGTTCTTCTAATCCTTTCTTTTGTTTTAGTTCTCCCTATGCTGTTAATATATTTTTGTACTGTTGGAAGAAATGTCCTTCTGGGTTCGGCTCCAAGTGGAGAAAAAGACACTGGAGACATGGAGGCTGCTTGGAAAGATGGTTTAATGGTGGACAGAGCCTCATGGCTTGAGTCCTGAACAGGAAAGGTGGATCACATGCTTCAATGTTGGTGGAGAAGAAGAGAAGGGAGGACTGAGATGCTGAGTCCCTGGTTTTATTCCCCTCTCTGGCCTTTGATCTTGAGCTTGCATTCTGATTGGTTATCAGACTCCCATGGGGTCATGCAGGAGCAACTCTCTAGGCTGCGTTTTGAATCCAGGTTTGGTTGAGTTCTCAGATGCCATGTGTGGTGATGAAAGGGC